GAGAGAGAGAGAGAGAGAAAGTGAGAATTAGAATAGAGATACGGAAAGCTCAAAAGGTATTCACTACTGATGGTAGAAGCAGATATTAATTAATCATGTTTTTAATGAAAGACAATAGGTAAAATAATGAAAACATTTTTATTTGAATTCGGCGAATATACAGTCTAGAATATTGCAGTATCAACGACGTGTTATTTATATTATCTAAATAAAATAATAATACGACGACATCACCAGCAAAGCAGGCACACATAACATACGCAGACAATGCGAAAATACATATCTTATAATGCTGTGTCAGATGTCGAATTATCGAGGGTCGACTAACGTTCTGGTTTTGTGTGCAGTGGGTGTCAGACGGATCACCGACCCACAGCAGTACACCGGTGAAGATCGACAGTGCCCTTCAATTTGTACCGAAAAATACCAATCCAAAGGAATTTAAACAAATACAACAACAGGTAAGTAATATGAAATTTTATTGGCATATTTATGCTAATTTTTTAAAGTATTCGAATAAAATCACATATAAGTATTTCGTAATTTCAAATTGATTAAACTGTTGGAGCTATTTTTTCCCCTATATTTAGATAAAAGATTACCGTAGAGCAGACAAAATATCAGCTGGACCACAGTCCCATATACTAGAAGGAGTTACGTGGGAAGAAGCCAAAAAGATGCAGGTAATGCAACACTTTTTTAATACTTTTATTAATTCAGTAATAAAATTACAACGATTTATCAATTCACAGTGTTGCTAAATTATACGTTTTGTTTGACGTAAAATATATACTGATAAGAATATTCACTTATGAAAGGACGCCACTATTAGCGGGACGGGAGAGCAAGTAGTGTTAGTAGGGGCAGCCAGCAAAGGTATCATTCAAAGAGGATTTCAGCACAATGCAATGGTCTATAAGACGCCATATGCGAAGAATCCTTTCGATGCTGTTACCGACCAAGAACTTGATCAGTACAAGAGAGAAGTAGAACGTAAACAAAAAGGAGATCTCTGTAAGTTAGATTAGCCATGGACAAAAAATTTGCATAGCTTCTAAACTAAGTTGTACTATTTTCTTCCCCTTGTTTTATAGATGATGAATCGCAATCAGAATCAGAAGCATTGTCATCGTTTAACATTAGTCGCGCAACACACGAATCGAGCACTGCCAAAAGTCCCATTCAGTCACCGGTATCAGTAACTTCGGAAACAGAGGAAGAAAGCAGAGATGGTGATTTTCCTGTGTTTTTATATTTCATTTTTATTTTGAGGTTAAAGAATTAATTTCATTTGATCAATGCATTGTTTAACTACTTGTAGAACCTCGAGTGCTGCGGATAGAAACAAAACAAGTGCCTGCACCAAGTCAACCTGAAGTTGTATTGAGCGATGGTAAATTATTTTTTTATCATTTTTCGTTTCAATCTGAATTTTGAATCACTCATTTTCGCAAAGCTAAATAAAGATACCATGGAAATGAACAAAGAAACATGTAGCCTGCATGTCGGTACGATGTATGGTACATGGAAAGTCTTGTATTGTGTTACTCTTTTGTTCTTCTTTTCGTTCTGCTTTCTGTGAAGTATATGTGCTATTTAAAACATTGAATTTATATAAAACGAGCTTTGAATTTCCCACAATTAACGATAACTATCACAAGGCTTGATCCATAAGCATGAAGATATAGCAATTCGTTAATTCGCAATTGTTTCTATCTTAATTTTTATCATCTTTATTTATGATCACTAACGCTTGCACCTTGCATGCCTAAATATTCGCGTACACGCATGTTCGCATAAATATTTTGCATATTCATGTTTACTGCAGAAGTAAAAATATTGTTTCCTTACTTTTCGCCTTTTTATTTTTATCCTATAATGCACATTAATTGCCTTATATTATTATTATTAATGCCATAATATTATATTTTTATCGTATTTTCCCCCCTTTTCGGTCACGAATTATTATCTTAATCGTTTAAAAGAGATTTATGGTCAAATCGTGTGTGACAAAAGTTTGCTTTTCGTACATTCAGTTATCGTGTATCCAACAAATTTCCCAGAGACGCAGGTGTGAGCATCCGTGATCATAACAAGTATCTTCTGTCTCCACGAGAAAGAAGGTAAACGAAAAGGAGCGAATATTAAAATACAGTTGTGGTGTTTTTGGGCACTATGGTTGCAGATCCTGATTCATCCAGTAAGTACTGCTGGGAAAACGAAAACAAGTATGAGAACAAGATTGAAAATGAAGTCTGCGTTGTTCGTAACGACTGTGATTATCCGGTATCCGAATTGTATCAGTGCGAACCTCGTTTAGAAATTGTTCGAAGTGACATTATAGCACAACGACTGGTAACTACGTTAATCGAGTATTGTCCTTGCCTTCCGATTATTTCAACTAACTGGGAGATAAAATACCCGCTAAACACAAAGTACAATGATCTTGAACACGGTTCAAATTCGATTTACTTCAAGGAAAAAGAATCTAAAGGAGAATGGTACGATAAAGAGGAAAGCAAGAGTCACAGATCATTGGAATTAAAAGTTAATGAAAGTTCATTAGATGATTGTCGTGAAAGCACTACTGTTTTGTCTCTTTCACCGTCTAACGAAAAAATAAAAAAAGCAAGTAGAGATTCAAAAACGGATTTGAAGGTAGTCGATACTGTATGCGAAAATTCTTCAAATTCTATGGAACGGATCGATGAAATGATAAGTAGTATCAGTTCAAATGTTGTGTCATCAAAAACAAATATTGGTACTTTATCTCGTTCTAAGTTCGAAATCTCAACAAAATACAGTTTAGATGCCACCGATATGAATTTAATTTACAGTTTGACACCATATATGAATTCAGATGGTTACGTTGATAAAGTGACGTTGGATGAAACATCGATGTTATCGTCATTTACATCCGAACGTATTAACGATACGAATGAAAATTGCTATTTGCAATCAAACGAAGTGCAACGGTGGAATAAAAAGAGTAGCTTAAACAAGAAAACAGATGATCATATTCCGTTCGATATATTATACGATAGCGAAAGTTACGAGCTTTCTAAAGAAATATCTCCCGAAATAGCAAATAACGATATGCATTTTGATCATGGATATTCTGAAATTCATAAGAATGAAAGATGCGATATATTGAAATTATCCACTGTCACGGTTTCAGAATTGTTAGAAACTACCGATGCATCATTATTCCGAAATGACATTAGCAGTACTGCAAATGAAATCATTGCAGAACTCAATATAAGCGATACGTATAGGACTATTTATTGTCTAGTAAATGAGATTTTTCAAAAGGTTTATGATACTCTCTCTAATATACAGTTGAATGATGAATATAGTTCGTTGCCATCTGCAATGTCTGAACACTTGGCAACTTCAATATTATATTTAAATATGAAAGATGATAATCATACGCGAAAAGAAAAGAAAGCGTATGAGGTCAGTGAAAGTACATCTGTCGTTGTTATACACGAGATGGTTCATCATGTGATCGATGCGTGTGCTGAATTTAAGAAAACAAATGTAGAATTAAAAGAAATACGAAACTCTGATATTATTAAGAAGGAAATAGCAGAAGTTAAACAGCGAATGAGTAATATGACATTAACGATAAACCGTGACGAGTCGGGTGAAGATCCTCGTGGAAAGATGCTAGTTACACCTGTTGAAAATTTGATTGAATTTGACAATAGAAATGAGCAACCTGATACTGAAACAAGAAAAAACATAGGACAAGCGATGGAAACAGATGCAGTTTTCGAGTTTCGCACAGTAACAAAGAACAAAGGAATAAATACCGGTGACAAAACATTAGAATTGAATTTTCGAGTAGAAAAAAATCGTAATGTTGAAATCAGTGTTGAAAGTAATAAATCATACCAGGGCAACGTAGAAAAAGTAAAAAATTCATTTATATCGTTGTCAAATCCAGCTGCAAATTTTGCGAACGCCATTAACGCTGAAGAAGATACAAATTTGAATAATTCATTGGAACATGGTAGAAAAATTGACAGGACAGAATTAACGAAACGATGTAAACTACGTAATGTTGCGAAATCTTCAAAATCTCTAGAAAGATGTGTCGACTGTATTTATTGCATGAAATTTTGTGCAATGAATTACAATGAAGAGTGTCCTTTGCTATTGCCTGCAGGTGAAGAAAAATCGGACGAGACGATTATAAATTTAAATGAACGTAATCAAATCAACGATAGAAATGAGACCGCAGAATTTAGGGATGATCGGTATAATGATATTTGCGCATGTTATAATACCAACGAAATGATAAATGATAAGGAATTATCTAGTCACGCTTTAGAAAATACCGAGAATATATTTTCCTCTAAAATGATGACCTCGTTAAATGATCAAACGTCGTTTTTTTTTTAATAGAAAAATTTATTCTATCAAGGATGTAGCATGCGTTTCGTCGGAGCTTGCTTAAATTGATAATTTAAGAAAATCAATATTCGTTGTAGGATTTATTTCTAATGTTTATTACTTTTCGCAGGAAGATAATTAATAATTGCTTTCTAAAAAAAAAAATAATCACACACACACACGCGAACATTTCTTTGATGCATGGTATTATAAAATCCAAAAAATGCTTTTTATTTGTTTCTCAATGTTTTCTTACTTTATTCATCTGTAATTTTAATTTAGGAATTTGCGATGAGATATTTATATCAAATAGGATATACATATTTTAAAGATTGAAGAAAACTTGAAATAATAAAGCAATACGCCAATTTATATTTTATTTTTATAATATTCTTATTTCGTTCATTTTCATTTTGTTATTTGCAGTTGTATTGCACGCACTAGTTACGTTTTTAAACAGCTGTTGCTTGTATATGTTTCGTTTTAATTATTTCGTTGTGTTTTAATTTTTTACCTATACTGAATACATGTTTTTCATATATAAAATATGTATATTACGGTTACAAAATAAATTATTTTTCTAAGTAATGGAACATAATGGTATAAAACGTGGTATCATTTTAATATTCATTTTAACGTTCATCTCAGTTTATTTTGATAATGTGACATGATATTTGAAACATTGAAAAGATGAACAAGACTCGCACAGTGGTATTCGTTATTGAGGTAAGCTTGCATTTTACTACTAATATTGATGATTTCCCGTTACATTTATCACTCTAACGCGTGCAAAAAACACATTCGATTAATATATAATGGTATCGTAGATATATGTAGATTTTATATAGTGCTTCTTTTTTCTTCTTCTTTCCTTCCTTTTTCTTTCTCTTTGTCTTTCTCCTTCTCCTTCTCTTTCTCTTTCTCTCCCACTTTCATCATTTGTGGGTGAATGATCCAAACAATGTGTAATAGTTGATATTTTATGTTTCAGGAGAAAATACCGTAAATGGCGATCACTCCGATGCGCATCACAGTACATTTTCTCAAAGTAGTAAAGAGGTTTGTTTCTTAGATCGTATTTAATTTGTTTTATTTCATCCTCGAGTTTTATCACAAATATACGCAGTAAGCGATATATTTTGGATAATCTTATATTTGTTATGTCATATCGCAGTTTACGGAACATATAAGGTAAAAGAAAGTGACAACAAGCATAAAAAAAGCTCGAGGGTACTTAGAAAGCATATGCAATAACAAAATATCACATTTGTATAAAGGATAAGTTACGCAATTGGCGGCACGTGCTGTATGTTATATGCGATTAACGGCAGAGATAAAAGTTTGCTATGAAAACGTTGAAAGGTTCTAGAATATCTATATTCGTAGGATCTCGGTTTTCGCTTGGCATTGTATCAATGCACACAGTATAATATACTGTGCATTAGTGGAAAGATAGCATATTTGGTTATAGGCCTGATCTTTTTCAATATTTTATCTTAAAACTTGTATTATTGACCAAAAATATGATTATACGATATCATAAAATATTAAATATATAACTTTTAGATCGTATAATTCCTCATGATAAAGTGAATGGAATATCTTTGAACCAAATAAAATAAACGATAAGAAATGTAAATTGACCGATAATCTGACCGAATAAGATCAGGATCGTAGTAAAATAAATTATTATACTATTATATCAGCGTATTTCGATAAAGATTCGAAGGATTGGTGTTAGACGGAATGAAAAGAACACTTTTCCTGCAGCTTCGATAGACAACTTTCTAGTAACATACATAATACTAGCATAATTATATTTTCGTTTTAAATGTAACCACATGTTTTCTTTTTCATTTATTAGTCTTTCTTTTTTTTTCTTTCTTTCTTTCTTTCTTTCTTTCTTATAGGCTATGAAAATGGTAAACATAAAGTCACTCAACCCTGTGTTTCTTTCTTTTAACACCGTCGATTAAATAACAAATAGCGCGTGTGCCAATTGCACGACTTACTTTGCAGTGTCCCTTACCTTTTCCAATGAATCTAGTTCTCATTGTCTTTTACGTGTAAAAATGGTAAAGATCAATCAGAAATCTTTTTTCTCGAAACAATTGTAAATTTCTGTTATATAAATTTTTATTTCACACATTCATCTTTAGTTGTCAAATGAGTCACGAGGATCATGCACAAGTGCCGCTTTTTCATTATCTGTGATTTATAATGCTACAAACGAAGCTAGTACGCCGTTAGTGTTTGCTCGCATGAATCTAAGGATAATCGATTTTTATGGACATAATAAAGATCATGCAAAGCGCTAAGAGGCGAAGGAGTGGAAAAGAGTACACGCGTGCGCGCACGTGTTTACACATATAACATGTATTACACGTAACATAATGTGATGGCGTATAACAGGAGAAAAAGAAAAAAGAAAAAGAGAGAGGAGAAAAGTGTGCGTGCGCACACGCGTGTGCGTGCTTGTAGAGAGAAAGGAGAAAGAATTGGCTATTTGCATGTGCATGCAAAGAAGGTTTATGGTTACGGTTGGGACCTTCCGTGTTAAGGGTTCCGTGTCGCAGGATGTGAGCGTTAGCGAGGAGTCACCGAAAAAGGAAAAGAAGAAGAAGAAAGGCCTTAGGACACCCTCCTTCCTAAAAAAGAAGAAAGAAAAGAAGAAGCCAGTCGAGGCGTAGGTAGTTCTAACTTCGGTACGTATGTATAAAACACAACATTGACATTGATATTTTTATTCATATTCAGCTTACTTATTATTCTTCTACCAGTATTTTTTTTTTTTTCTTCTCCTTTTCTTTTATTTTTTTTTTTTTTTTCTCACAATTACCGATTCTAGCTGATTGATTTCGTTGTAAGGAAAACAGCATAGATCGATATCGCATTTATCAAATATTTCTTCTTTAAAAGATAGTTTATATCATGCGATCGATCACGTGAAGAAAATTTCTTAGAAATTGAAATAAAAATTCACGGTACAAAAATTAAGAACTTTCAAGAGAATAAGTATAAGTGTCAAGAGTTGTTTCGCCGTTTGTTTGTCGAGTAGTTGTTTCTTGAATTATATCATTCATTTCTGTATTCTGGAAATGCTAAGAAGAAGTTCAAAGAAAAAAGGTAGGCTGGGGATTTCTATGTCAGAACGTTTCTTTTCTTTTTTTTAGAGTAGAAGAGCTGTTGACGCTATTGCAATTCGCATAGATGCAGCAAATTTAGATTTCATATTTTATAGTTGCCAGTTAGAATCGTGAATCGCTAAAACGATATTTACACAAACACACGTTGTCATTCCAAAATCTCTACAATTCATATTTTGTTCGCTAGTTTTACAAATCATTCACCTGTCTGTTTTACGTTGCATTACGGATACAAATAATAAGGATGAAAATCGTTGTTATATCATAACTTATGAAAGGTTTCTTTCTCATTTTCTATTTACAGACACTGCCACGAGCAAAAGCTTATCGCAAATAAAAGAACAATTACCGAATGAAGATTAAACCGCAAAACAGAAGAGTCAACATCGCTAGGCGAGTCAACAGTGCATACACCGGAAACGAATGAATATAGAAAATAGGAAATAGAATATAGAAAATCGAAAATTGAAATAACCGTGCAAAAATCACAGCATCTTTCCAGGACTCAAGACTGCCATCGCATTACGTCTACGATAAGAAACTATATTGTACTGTTAATGTTTTTACGTTTTTAATTTGTTAAAGCGTCGCGCTGAACTATTTAATCCGCTATTTAATTTTGCCTCCCCAGCCCCGTTTGTGTAATGCAATAAAACGAAACAGAACAAAAGAAATACATTTCTAATTAACGATGAAAGATGCATGAGAATGCATTACATCGTGTTTTTCAATATTCCTATCCTTTTCCATACTATTCTAGTCAAGTTGGTACACGTTATCTTATGCCCTCTTTCTATATATATTTTTATTCGCGTCTTATGGCGTATCGTAATGTTTTCTTTTCAAAATCTATTTACGTTTCATCGTTGCGAATTCGATATCTAGTTCATTTTAACAACGCGTGATGCGACAAAAGTGTCTGTCTACTGTTTGTAAAACACTATCGCAAGCAGACACTTGGAAGAAAGACATAGAGGAGGTGCAGAAAAACGAGAAAAGTATTGGAAGATGTTCTAGGTTAAAATTTATAAACAAAGTAAATCGAATTCAGTATTCGTTGATAATGTCTGCATCTACATCGTTAGAATCTAATCCCACTTCTTCGTAGTCCTTTTCAAGAGCTGCAAGATCTTCGCGAGCTTCGGAAAATTCACCCTCTTCCATGCCTTCACCAACATACCAATGAACGAAAGCTCTTTTCGCATACATAAGGTCAAACTTATGATCAAGGCGAGCCCAAGCTTCACCGATAGCTGTTGTATTAGACAACATGCAAACTGCACGTTGCACTTTAGCTAAATCTCCACCAGGTACAGCTGTAGGTGGTTGATAATTAATACCAACTTTGAATCCAGTTGGGCACCAGTCTACGAATTGTATCGTTCGCTTCGTTTTAATGGTAGCGATCGCGGCATTTACATCTTTCGGCACAACGTCACCTCTGTACAGCATACAACAAGCCATATATTTTCCATGCCTGGGATCACACTTAACCATTTGATTTGCTGGTTCGAAGCATGCGTTAGTGATTTCTGCAACCGAGAGCTGTTCATGATACGCTTTTTCAGCGGATATTACAGGGGCATAAGTAACCAAAGGAAAGTGGATTCTTGGATAAGGAACTAAATTCGTCTGAAACTCGGTTAAATCTACATTTAAAGCACCGTCAAATCGCAACGAGGCTGTTATCGAAGATACAATCTGTCCGATCAGCCTATTAAGATTAGTATAAGTTGGTCTCTCAATATCTAGATTGCGTCGGCAAATATCATAAATTGCTTCGTTATCGACCATAAAAGCACAATCCGAATGTTCGAGAGTTGTATGAGTGGTGAGAATGGAATTGTACGGTTCAACAACTGCCGTGGAAACCCGCGGAGCCGGGTAAATTGCAAATTCTAATTTAGACTTTTTTCCATATTCGACAGAAAGGCGCTCCATTAATAAAGAAGCAAAGCCCGATCCAGTACCGCCACCGAACGAATGAAAAATAAGGAATCCTTGTAATCCTGTACATTGATCAGCTAGTTTACGTGTTCGATCAATAACTAGATCAACAATTTCTTTGCCTATCGTATAATGACCACGTGCATAATTATTCGCAGCATCTTCTTTGCCGGTGATCAGTTGTTCAGGGTGAAAAAGATGTTTGTACGTTCCCATTCGGACTTCATCTACAAAAATACAATTCATCTTCAACATGATGTACAATCTTTCATTTTCTAAAACCATTTTCTTTTTTTCTCTTACCAACTACTGTAGGTTCCAAATCAACAAATACTGCTCTAGGTACATGTTTTCCAGCGCTGGTTTCACTGAAGAAAGTGCTAAAACTATCATCGCCACCTGCACCAAACATCTTATCTGATGGCATTTGCCCATTTGGTTGTATTCCATGTTCCAAACAATAAAGTTCCCAACAAGCGTTTCCAATTTGAACACCAGCTTGACCGACATGAATAGATATACACTCGCGCTAAAACAACGTAAAAACCCATTTTAGAAAGATTTCTTTTTTCTACTTGTTCTTTTTATCTTTTTTGTCTTATGCTTTGCCTATCTGAATTCGAAATATTCAATTTCATTCCCTATACGTTAAGAAACTAATTTTTATACCGTGTTAACATTTCAACCAGATAGGTAAACAAATTCTTATTCAAATTAATTATTTATTAATTGCTATTTAATTCAATTATTAATTTTATCTTTTATTTCTTTACTATTTTGACTTCAGCAGTAATCATCGACATTTTTCTTACCATTTTGATCACGTAAGAATAATTAACTGTATTAAACGTAATTACGTATGTTGTAAAATAATTAAACACGAAATTCGTTGACGGTGAATAACACGTTTAGGATGAAGATGGATACCACTTCTTTGAACGATTAAAACTTAATGGTGCAACACGAGTGTTAACTGAATGGTCGTCGGCCCGTTATATCCTCCACTTGGAGTCGTCTCGAAATACTCGCCAAAGAATTGTGAATAATTATCTGAAAAAGCTACTTTTCTTTTCTTCCTTTTTTTCGTATTTCTCATAATTGAATTGTGTTAAACTTAAACGTTAAGCTTTGCACATTTTTCTTCGACTAAACTATTTATATCTTTAAATTTCAAATGAACAGAATAAATGTAAGAAACCGAATAGACAAATTCATTTTTAGTTACGTTGCACTTAACATTAAACCTAATGGACGAATATAAATAGAATATCGTAACTACAACTAGCTTCAGCTAGCCAAGTCGTATGTAACCATTTGAACGGCAAGTCCATGATGCAAATTCTTGTATTCTATTCTTATTCAACTATATATCGCTTCTTTTGATTTTCGCAATTTGATCATTTTATCATACACAAATACATATATATGTCGCATCATATCTCTTATTACTTTCAATATTTATACGGAATACTTATATATTTTGAAATTTAGTTATTTTGTCTATTGATAAAAAATTATCTCAATCATCAGTGCAATTTAAAAGCCTTAAAATCTATTTCGCTTTTTTATCTTTTTTAATATTCCCATAAATTTATTCCTAAACTCTAGCAAAGCTAATATATTTTCTTCTTTTTTCCCCCAAATTGTTTACACTAACGAGTTAATTTAGTTAATCAAATCATAATTAAACATCGCCTTGTGGATTAATTATAAAATCGGTACAGTATAAATGTCAATCATTGGTTAGAGGTATTGAAAAGAACATTTAGTTTCTTCTTACGTGTGTTACTATAAAATTGTCTACGTCTCAAAATATTATTAAGAATATATATATTATATCCATAAGGAATAGTTGTACTCATTATTGCCTTGCTTACCATATGGATATATGAAATATATATATATACACACACCATATATCTATATACATTGCATCTATGAAATATAAGATTACACAACTGTGTTAAACTCACACTTATTGTATGTAAACATAACCTTTTCATTTTGTCGACTGCATGTATTTCATAAATAGAATCTCAAGAGATAAAAGCGTAACGACATACATGTGTTTACATTTTATAACCTTTGTCGCATTATCATTAAGTTAATTACAAATAATTCAATTATACAAAGTATGGGACGTAGCCGTACACCTTCACCAGGAAGAAGAAGAGATCGATCTCGAGATCGAGATCGGGAACGCGAACGAGACAGAGATAGAAGAAGGAGACGTTCTCGTGAAAGGAGAAGAAGGTATTTTTTTTTCCTTTACTTTCACAACTTTTCATTAGAATTAAGCCGTTTAACAGATAAGAGGCGTCATGAATTTAAAATACATTTAGATCTGTTGAACGGGATCGAGTAAAATCAAGAGATAGAGAAAGAGACCGTGATCGTGAACGAGAAAGGCACAGACGTTCATATAGTAGGTCCAGGTCAAGAGAAAGAGACAGGCCCAAACCTAAACTAAAACCCACAACAGAACGCCCTGTGATCACAGGTAAACTAAACAAGGATCCAACATGAATTTCTATATGTCTAAATTGATATTTTTTAATATATTAAATTAATATAAATATTTAATATTTCTAAATTAATGTTTTATAGAAGCTGATCTTCAAGGAAAAACCCCAGAGGAACAAGAAATGATGAGAATAATGGGTTTTTGTGGTTTTGACAGTACTAAGGGCAAAAAGGTGGAAGGAAATGATGTGGGAGCTGTACACGTTATTCTTAAAAGAAAATATAGACAGTATATGAATAGAAAAGGAGGATTCAATAGACCGCTGGATTTTGTAGCATAAAATTATAAACCCGACATTTTAACAAAACCTTTTGCAATTTATAGGCATTCCTCAACCTGTTCGAGTTTTATTGTTTTATAAACTTAGACAGAGCAATAAGAACTGTAAATGGTAAAGAAAGTAGTTTATATAGACAAATATATACTGTGTAAAAATAGTAAAAAATATAATCTTCCTTCTTTTATCCATAATTTAACACAGATAGATGTGATTACTACAAAACTTTTTAATTTTAAGAATCATTAAAAAATTTTTAATATCGCATAAATATTTCAAAATATAAGTTTCAAAAACCAGTATTAAACATTTTTATTAAGAGTATTTCAATCCTCTGTCCTAAGTCGTTTTCTTGAAGATGTACCAGAGCTGTTACTATCAGAATCATCCATGTTCGAAGTATGGATCTCGCTTTCAACGTTTTCTAGATTTGATGAAGCAAGCTATAAAATTTAAAAATATTTTCAATCTATTGAAATTGGGATAATTACAAAAATTAATATACATATAATATAACATTTCCTGTTGTTTGCATTACCAAACTAATATCCATTTTTTCAAGTCCTTCAACCAATTGTGGATTTTTGATTCGAAAATCTCTCGTTACACTGTGTTTTATATAATTTCCTAATGGTACCTAGTGAATATGTGGGAAAGTTAAAATTCGTAAATATAATGTAAATTAAAAGATATAATATTTAATATTTGTGTTTGACACTCACGTCTGTCCTTTTGCCAAGCAGCAATATTTCTTTGTTAAATTGCTCGATCTCATATACTACCCGAGGTATTATTTTCGTTTCTTTCAAAATTTTATTCCTTTGTGCATATGAATCGGATTTCGATTGTGATTTGTTCTGATTTTCCTGCAGAAAATTTTTGTAATAGAATAACAAGACAATAATCCTATGTTGTTATCGATCTATAGTCATAAAAAGTGAAAATTTCAAATATAACATACCTCAACATATGTTACTAGATTATAAAAAGCAGACTTTAATGGTTTACCAGCCAATTGTACCACTTGAATGAATCTGTAACCAATGTTCAATCAGTCTCATTGATATCGAAGAACATAAAAAATCGTTAGTGATGAAATGATATTACTGGTAAAAAAGGTATTAGCACATTATATAAAAATATTTAATCATTGATTTCATTTATTTCAAGTGATATACTGTTGGATGAAATTCTGTGTGTATGTACATCGTAACAATTATACATAAAAAAAATTTGTTATGTTTTTAAATTAGCAAAAAACATTTTATACAAAAAATATTTAATTTTTAATGCAAGAGAAAATATCGCTCCATGTAGAACTCATTATGTTCTATATATACACGAACTTTCATTAAAACCAAAACTTCCTAGCTAGATGAATTTCCTTGTAATATAACGTGTTAATACTTATTTTACTCACTGTATGTGCAGCACATACTTAACCGCTTGGAACGCCGCATTTTGACCACTTGATTTTACATAAAAATATTTTGTAAGATTTCCAAGCAAATGATATAAGTATTGCAAATTTCTGAAGGTAACATCAGTACATAGGCCTGGTTTGATTGTTGTATTAGCTAATGTATGAAGTACTTGAGCAAGATAAGATAATTGTTTACACAGATTCCGTTCTTTTTCCCTTAAACTGTTGTTCCCTGATAAAATAATGCAATTTTCTATGATTGTAATTATCAAACTTCTAATTGCAAATTTATACTTACAAACTTCATTGACTGTTTTAGGTACTCGAACTATGTTGTCTTCTGCCTTTAATCGCAATAATAACCATGAAGCATTATCTAATTTCTGTTTAATGTGATAGTTCAAGACATTGTAAATTTGTGATATGGTATCCTCGTGTATAACTTTATATAGTTTATTTGTTACTAATTCAGTCTACATTTAAGTAAAAAGAAAAATCAATTTCAAAAAATAGAAAGATCAATATGTCTTAAAACAAAGATCATTACGTACACCATCAATACTTCCAGCTTTTTCACATAGTTCTATACAAATTTCATTTAATGTCTCTCCATATTCTTGTGTGTATTCTTCCAAATATAAGACAAATTGTACAATTGCAGGAATGATAGAACTTTGAATATTTTCTATTTGAATCATTTTTTTAGTATCCTCAAACATCTATCGCAATAAATAAGAATTATATGTACAATAAAAAAACGAAAATAATTTGCACAAAAGACAACATACCCACCTTGGTAGAATTGTAATTTTCAAAATTAATTTTATATGTAAACTGTTCCACTATTTGTAACAATAGGAATGGTACTTTATTTCTCTCATCGTCACTTGTTTCTTTTGTAAGAGATGCTTTTAAGTAAGGGTTTAATGAAAAAATAATTTCTTGTAATTGTAGATTAATATCTGTAGATACTGGATCCTCCTTAGCTGATATTTCAACTTGAAAAAATAAGTAGCATTATAACGTATAAAATTATCGAAGTAACATAATAAACTATAGTATAATTACATACGAATTGAATTGAGAAATCTCGATAATTCGAACGGAAGTGATGTACATATATAGTTACAAATTTCTTTGAAACATTGCAAGGCCAATATAATTATCTGTTCGTTATTTGTAAGTGCATCGTTCAAATTTTGCACTAAATATTTATAAAATAATCTAAACAATAAATATATTCGTATTATTAATATTATATAATATAAGAAGTGATAAATGTAAAAAAAAGAAAACATTTAACATCTCATACTATTTATCATTAAATCCCTGTTTTAAACTTACCTCCCAATATCAATATATGTAAGTAAATATTGACGATTTTGCGGTTGAGAAATATCCTTCGTAAATAATCTTATACGTTGTAAAAGGCATTCACATGTTTGTAATATGTAGCAACTTAAATTATGATTTTTTCGTAGTGCAATTTCGTTTTGGATAGAAGATTGTCTGTTTATAAATTACGATTACGTATATTATACTTTTAGAACGACTTGAATATTTTCACGGTTTTGCAAGTTATGATTTAAAAGATCTTAAGCTTCTATAGTACAAATTTAATAATTTAGCATTGATTTTAATGAATTTCGTTTAATTTTGTTTCGAGATAAATATTTATAATCATTCATAGGGCTTTTAATGATGGACTTATTTCATTTTCTCTTATTCTTTTCAAATAAATAACGGGAAAATGAACGGATGAAAACTGCGAAAACTTTCAGAATGACCTAGTAATCCTAATATTGACGGAATTATTATTATTATACTCACGAAAATAAAAGGGATAAACTTTGACGAATCACATCCAAATCCATAATAGTGTCTGGTATTCTAATGTTATTTAATTTAATAATCTTCTTGTTCGTTTTATTTACATCCTTATCTTTTCTGGCTTTACCATTATCGACTTTTTTAATTTTTATGGATTGCTAGAGAAATTTCATATTGGATATTATGATTTTTAGAATAGTAACTAACTAAATAGAATATAAAGAAAACTTATTAATTATTTTACCGATTTAATGAAATCTATCAAACGTGTATATCCTTTGAACAAATCATCAATATTATGGAAGTTATCTTCATTTCCTTTCGACCATTCCCCGATTCGAAACGCTATGAGAGCCTCATATATTGCAATAGCCATATGAAGGTTTTTTATCCTTATTTGAGATTTCGGAAAATCTCCGTGTAATATGTCAATTCCATGTTCCTAAAATAATCAATGATCACCTTTCTATTTTGTCATATCCGTATTACTTCTTATATCGGTATTCAAACTGTAATCACCAGATGTAAATGTTCCAATTCAGTAGCTGCCATTTTTCTACATAGTGACTCCAAAACATCATGTAATTTTATGAAAGTATTTGAATCTTTTACAACTGTATTAATATATATTTTTTGTAATACAAATATCAATTGTGCGATAGGTTCCTGTAAAACTACCTCTGCACCGTGAATATCTGTACATAATTCCAATTTTACAGGAGGTAATATACTATCATCTATGTTAAGGTAAATATTCAAATGTGAAAGAAGCATATCCAGTAGAATTTCTGTTATTTCCGGATTTTTGGTCACAGTATGGTACAGACCTAAAAATGTGATATTGATTATGAAAATGACAATTTTCTAATTATCGAACTATTAACTAGTCAAATATATCTTCTTTACCTTCATAGAAATGTAATTTGACTTCGAATTCGTAAGTAAAGCATTTTTTTAATATATCCACTATTTCGTAGCATAAAGTTTTATCGAGTTCTGTATTCAGTTTTTCTTGTTGGGAGGTATACTCTAAAGTTACCTAAATAGTGTAATAAAAATGATTGTATCTTTATTATGAATATTAATGAAAATTATATTAGTTTCCTTCTATTTTTATAAAAAATCTTTCTACATACCTGAGTTACTATTGCTTTAGAACCAGAGCTAATCGTATGCCTAGAAGAATTACAACTTTGGCTAAATCTGAAGCTACCCCGAGGTTGCATTTTCAACATTTCAAGAAACCCTGAGACAGCTATCTGTCGCTTTAATACACCTTTCCTATAAAGAGCTTTTCTCAAAGTTAAAAAAAGATTTTCTCGTATATTGGATGAAATGTGCACCAATGGAAGAATGGCATACAAAACTTGATTAGCAACTGTACAGTGCAAGAATAGTAATTGTTCAAGAATTGTCATAATGTAGACTTGGTGATCCAAAACAATCATTGATAATTCACGACACATAAGTCTCAAACAGTCTAAAAAACATTTTGTTAAATAAATATATTGCGATAAGCAAATATCGTTACATCATATGGCAATATTATTACTTTATTACTTGTATAATGCGTTGCTGATGCACTTGCTGCTACTATTTTATTAATCAATTCTTGCAACACGAAAGGAACTGTTTCATGGCGTTTTTTAATTATTTCTTGTATTATTTCAGATCCCATATTGCACATATCTGTCACATTATTTTTTGATTTTTGATCAATATTCATTAATGTAAAAGCTAAATTGGTGAGACCTTTTAATACTAAATGACGATCTTTATTGCTATAAAATAATTAGACAATTATATAAGGTTTGAGTGTAATATGGGAAACATTAAGTGAAATCACCTGCTCTCAATAACTTGTTGAATAATACCAATTATATTGCAAGGAGAAGGTATAAGTTGTCTCAACCATGCACTACTTTGTCGTTTTTCTTTTCCTAAATTATTGTGAATGATAGCAACTCTTAGTGTCTCAAAGATCTATTAAATATGTTTTACATTAGAATAGTAAAATGAAAGTATCATAAACTCATGATCAATACAAAAGGAGTTATAACACGTTAAAAACTATGATACCTGATCTTCATATATATCAGAAACTGACATCAATACAGAGAGCATAAATGATTGTAGCATATATTCTGAGGCATAAGATACATGTTTAAGAAAACGAATGAAATCTTTTATACTTTCATGATTTAACTGAGTAGCTTGATAGACATGATATAAAACAGTGCTCTCAATGTCTTGTACCTCTTTTATATTAACTATATCTAAAAATAATATATAATGTGTAAATATCTATTCCCATATATATATAATACAATAAATATACACAAGTCTAACTTAATTATGTATTTTTTTTTTTCCATACCTATGTCTTCAAAACTATTCTTGTCACTAGTTAAAATTGTTTTTGAATAACATAATTCAAAATATTTGGATAAAGCATCCAATAGTTTCTGATTATCTCGTTCTTTGCATAATTTTAATGCTTGATATGTAAATGAAGGTACTTGATCTAAAGATAGGTTCAAAAGAGCAGAACATAATGACTTCAAAACTTCATTGCGATCTGTCTTGTCTAATATCATATCTCTTTACATGAAAAAGGTCAGATATATTTTTACTCCGAAAAATGTCATGTATGTAAGACTGAACCATCTCGACATAGAAAATCATTTACCCAAACATTTTGGTTAAAGATGGTAAGAGATTGACATTCCATTGGTCATTACATATAGCTTTAACAATTAATGATTTATATTCGCTTCCGGAAACTTGGGTATTTGCGTAAACGAGATACTTTTCATTTTCCAGTGTTTCAAATAGTGCTGGCAATAATTCTTTCCAACTGGAAAAAAGCAAATAATTTGGGAAAATTCTATATCGAAACAAAGAGAAAAAATAAAAAGGAATGATATAAAATGTAAACTGCTTTGCCTGTGTAATTTGTCATCATCATTGCGAATATTTGTAATACAAAAATCAACAAGTTTGACAAGATGTTGCTTTGAATATCTTGGAAAGTCAGAAATTATCCGATTAATGACTGCATTCGCTTGCTCGGTAGATATTTTACTCTTTTCCAAACTTTTTATGGTAGATTCGATAAGTTTCCGCCGTTTCAACTGACAGGCGTCAGAATCGGAAAATGCTTGCAAAAGATTATCTAGTATTTTTGTAGCATCCGATTTACAAATATTGTTATGTACTAATTGTATAAGCTGTTAAAATGATTCGTTAAAATTAAAGATCATTTCTTTCATATACTATTTATATGTTATCATTATCATCAAACAAAATTTTCATGGTTACCTCTTCGACATTCGAATCTTTGACAAATGCACGTAATTCACTACGTTTTCTTGGATTTTCGAAATGATGATGCATGTTTCAAAATTTGTAATTAGAAGTACTTATTGGTTTTGTTTCTCTTATTTGGAATGTAGCAAAGATAATTATAACTATTATAAATATCTTATCCGCTTGTTGATCTATAAAGCATAAAAGAACTAAAATTGCCTTATGATGCTCTACCCCATCCCTCTTTCTCTACTACCTAGGCGCCATTTATTTCTCTCTTTCCCCCGCTCTCTCTCGTTCGCTCTCTCTCTCTCTCCCATTAACACGCACAAGAATTTGATGCATGCATATGTAGCAAAGGCCACGAGGCATAAAATATTGCGATAATGTGATAATAATATGATTCTTAAAAAATGTTTTGTATTTTAAATAGCGTTGCGATTTTTCATTATCAAATGGATAGAATTTGTTTAAAAATGATCTTTTACATATATATGTAGTATTTCACTTGAAATGAAGAAAAATGAAGGATATTTCATTTAAAGTAAATTGAAAATAAGCATTCGAAAGATGAAAATAATAATTGTTCGAATTGTATGTCATTAGTATGAATATACCAAGCCGAAAAGTTTCGTAAGTGAATAAAACGATATAGCAAATGAATGGTGTGATCATTTTTTTCTGTGGCAGTAACCAGTCGAAGGTTTTGGATTTTTAGTCCAAGGTCGGAGGGGTTAGGTTAACGATATTATTGAAAGAGTAAAAGAGAAAAAGAAAGGACGGGCGTGGCAGAGGAAAGCATACAAACGATTACGCATGTTCCTGTGGCGAAAGTTTTTTTCGGTACTCCATCGAAACACGCCCTTGTACCCCACCTGATTTCAGGTTCAAGTTATGGCGCCTATCTCGTTCACTTAACCGTACGGACTATATAAGATTTCGGATACGAAAGGATCAGCACACATTTGCTTTCGTACATTGTTAACGAATCAACCAAGATCATCTGACTCGCAATGTTCTCGAAGGTAAGAGCTATCAAATAATGTAAGAAATATATTCTCAATACAATATCTTTGCCGGCTTGGATAAAACAATTTGAATTGTTAAATGATACGGCTATAGGCTATACATTTCTCTACGTTTTTTTAAAAACCGTATATTCATATATTCTATAAATAAAATGTATATTTGAAGGAGAATTAGAAGCATAGAGGAAGGTAGAAATTGTCTTTCGACAATGTCTTTATTAATTTTATTTTCTTCTTTTTAGATCATAATACTAGTTTGCGCTCTAACAATGAGCAATGCCGGTTACTTGGCACCAGCAACCGCCAATGGACAATATACTTTGACTACAGCGGCTTTAACGTCAACATCAGATAATATACTTCGTAGCTCGGGAAATCTGGCACAGATCGCGACTCAATCAAAAACAATTTCCACACCATTTTCGAGCACCAGTAAATCCGATATTCGTGTAACCAATCCAGCGATTTATGCGCACACTGCTCCAGTGGCATACGCTGCGACACATGCAGCATCTCTGGCAACACCATTTACCGCTACTGCACATTCAAGCCCACTTCTTGGAGTTGCTTATTCACCGGCGGTGGCTGTTTCGCATATGGCCTACAGCAGCCCTATCGGTGTCTCTTATAATTGGTAATTGCTTATTTTGCCAAGTCCTTTGGAAAAGTGTTGCTGCCAACCAATTAACGCGGCAATCCAACTTTGGTTATCATCATGCTGTATTTGTATTTGACATTTTCTCTACTTCTATTTATTAAATACAATGTACATTGAAGTATAAAAAAGCAGCCTGATTTTTGTGTTTCTTCCTTTTTGTCGTTAATTACACACGTTTTAGCTTGTCTCCGGCTGAATATCTTTAGTTTGAACACTGCGCGTTTTGTATCGATCACAGCGCGTCGATCGATTGAAATTCGATTGAAATTCGATTGAAATTCGATTGAAATGGATAAAAATACAGATAAATGGAAGGAAAATGGATTGTTATTAGAGCGGAGGAAAGATATTGATCAGTAGCTAGAAATAGAGTAACGATTGTACGTTTATTGAATATTCGATTATTACATTCTGTGACAAAATAGATCGTTTGGGTTGTAACAACGATTCGCCATCGATACAAAGGTTTGAACGCATTTTATGGTCGACAGCGGTTAAACATCGATTCTTTAATCGAGTCCTCCGTCGCTCCGTAGTGGTTCGAACGTGAAACTTAGAGAACCTTGAGGGCTCCTATCCCGTTCAAGGCTAAACCATTGAGCCCTAGAGGAGCTGCCGCTAAGCCGGTAGTGATAGCCGGTGCAGCTGCATACGCAGTAGTCAATCCAGGAGCAAGAAGCGTTGTAGGAGCTGAAACCGATGCATAACATATTCGTAATAAATTGTATTTAATAATTAAATCGAAGTTAAAGAAGAAAAGCCGATAAAGTGACTATCATACCAGGATTCGCTTCGTTAACCAACGATTATTGAATTTGAATTTGAGCCTTTATACGCCTGTTCGTTACACGATTGACCGTACGTGCGAAACATACGTGAAACAATATTTTTCCACTTATTATATAACGAAGCGTGATATACTCGGTGGTGAATAACGCAACGGTAATGAAAAAAAAGAAAAAAAAGAAAAAAAGAAACAAAGAGAAAAAGAAAAAAAGAACAAAAACAAAAAGGAAGAAAAAGGGAAAAGAGAAAAATACGAAAAGTGTGGAAAATCGAGAAGATATTAAGGCGACAATTGAAACAGTAGAAAGAAAAAGGAACATGAGAAAAGCGGACTAAAATAACATCGATCCTAATTGCATAAAGGAAGCGTGTCGGCAAGCGATTGCCAAGCACCCGATTTCCTCACGATATATCATCGAGTCGACCGCCGTGTGATGCTCCGTTAAAAACATCACGGTTAGACAAGGTGGTGTAAAAGTGCATATGCATGTATGGCAGCGCCGTTATATAGCGACGTACCACCAGGTATCTAGCAATAACGTATAGGCTGAGTTGTGGATGCTAGAGAATGAATTGGCACCCCGTAATCAGGTACCTGCAAGAGCGGTATTTGCGACTGCAACCACCGGGGCGGGCACAGCGGTCGCCGTCACGATTCCAGGATTGTTAACGCGTACGTCCGCTTTCCTGACGCTACTGAACGGCGTATCTATGCTCTTCGAGTAGGCCGATATGGCACCTAAGTTACCGATACCCCGTATCACATTAGAACTGGATGTTGCGATAGTTGGTAACGCGACTGTGGCCGCAGATAGAGGAAGGGTTGCTGCTGCTGCTGGCTGCACTGCGACTGCTGCAGGTGCGGTTGCCGCGAGCAAACCACCGCCGATCACACCAGCTTGCCCAACCGCCAACAAGCAACCGCAAATCACCAAAAGCTGAAAGATAAATTTCAACTCTTTTTTACTCTTCTTCCCAACTTTATCTTTGCCCTCCTATTTCTCTACACCTGCATAACTGTCCTAATCACATATTTACGGGATTGGTCAATTTTTGTTCCTGTATGATTGCGATTATTTTTCCTTTCTCGACAACTGATGATTGTTCTTCGAAGTCACTTTATTAAAAGACGTTAATGGGGAAAAAACGGGGAGAAACGGGAAAAAATGGGGAAAAACGGGAAAAAACGGAAAAAAACGGGAAAATCGAAAAAAGGATCCAATCTGTACCAAATGATATAACGAAAATTAAATATCTTAGTTGTGTACCATACTTTTACTTACTCTAAACATGATGATGATGATGATGATGATGATAGATAGTAGCTGCTTTCTTTGCCGGTCAGAAGCAACAAACGAATTGAATGCATCTGGTAAATCTGTCAGTCTATTTATACGTAAGCTCTTGTAAACCCGTCCAGATAACTAACTTGAAACATTTTTTCCCCGAAAACTTGGTATCGAGTGTCGACCGTCGACCGAAGGTAAGTGTATTGTATAGGAGGCGTATATCGAACCGACACATATGATTGCGTCACATACGTATAGCTAAGGCAAATTCGATATCGCTAAAGTGGAGTAACAGATTGCTCGTGAATTATGATATTTTCCAAGAGAATTTTCTTTGTTCAAACAGAAAACGAAAAGAGATGGGGAATTGAAGAATAATACGGTGTTAGGGTGAAAAATAGCTGACAATAAAAGTGAAAAGTAATCGAGTATATAAAAGTATACACTGAATTTCGACGCTTGTGTTATTCGATGTAGATATATTGCAACATCGATCACGTAAATGTACACCGGCGATTGAAAGGCAAAAGACAGAAAGGAATACTCTGCGTAATTACTCAACATGGGTATATCTCAAATTGCAACCGATATGTCTTGGTATTCAGACATACTATAGAATTACAGTTTAACCATCGCATAAAGAATCGCATGTTTGATACATATTAGATAGTTAAGGATTTGAACTCGAACGGTAGTAAGCTACCGAAAAGATGGTCGTAATCTTTATAGCTGAGGATCAGCTCGACGAGGCAGAGGCTCGATAAAAAGTTGTCTGTAGTTATTCCATCTTGGTCTAAAGTTTCTAAATTAGTTAATTCTTATTTTCTTACTTTTCTTACTTTTTTCCAAATTTTGAATAACGTTAAATTGCATATCGCTGCGGTATAACTCGAAAGAAAATAACAATATCGAAGGAAATTTTGATGCGTTGAAAGCTTTTGTAATAAGTGAAACGATAATGCGAGTGATGACGGATGATTATCGTAATAAATCGAGATAGTAATAAATAAAGAACTTAGAGATAAATCAATAATTTAAACAGGGTAGTCGATCTACGTTTAGAATATTTTTGCATTTATTTACGCAAAAACGCAAACTTACTGAAGCTACTTTCAAATGAGCAAAAGTAAGAAAGATGAGAAAAGAGGTTGGAATGGGATGGGGTCACCAAAGAACGAATGTATCTGGGTACGAAGTGAACGGGAACGCAATCGGACGATCACTGCCGGTTGTAGCTGTTACGCAATTGACATTGGCAAAGTGTAGCAGTGCCGGGCACGGCCAAGAACTTTAAGATTTCACAAGTATGCCGAAGGCAAAGAAACGTATTATAATTTGGTAAGCTGACGTGCTAAAGTGTCTTTTTCATATTTTCATTTCAAACTTCAACCATTAAAGTTTTACAATCGCTATCTTAAGCATAATGAAGATTTCTAGTAAAAATACGGGTAAAAATGGTTATCGAGCCAATGTTGTCCAGTTAATATGCACCGCATATTTTCTATTATTGAATCGAATATATAAAAATATTTCGTAGAAATACTTGGGGAATGGAATTCGAACAAATTGTTTGATAGATTCGACATCGATCATGTTCTTAAAGATAAAAGCTTTATCGATGTAACAGCTTTCATTTATTTATTATACTTCTATAAAATACAGTACAATATATCAATAATATGTTTCTACAATTTATGATACTGGCTGAGTGAGGTCTAATAATTTATTAATTGCTTGTAATCGCAACAATATACAAAGTGATTCTTCCTCGATATATAAAACACACCTTACAGCTTTTTCGCCAGTCATATCCGTTACGAAGATATAATTGTACATACAGGTACAATCGTCTGGCAATTTTCCACCTTATAATCCATCTATAGAAATATCAAGAAAAATATGCCAAGATTATGAACTAATAACCGACACTATGTATTGCATTATTGCAACGAATTAATTAATATTACAACATTTCAAGCTTGGACCGACTTGATATTCTCGAGTGCAACTTATAATCAAAATATTTTTACTTTTAGGTCTAAATATATTTCTTAATTGTTATCGCGTTGTTATGTATTTCATTACATCACGATTACTGCTTTCAACTGTCCATACATCTTACGTGTCGTAACTTGTCGTAAACATGCAACAATATTTTCGAACAAAGGTTTCGAACAATCGATTTTCCTCTATATCGATCTTTCTTGAAATTTTTTATTTAGATATAAAAAACAATATATAGACATACATATGATATATAATTTACTTTTTACTTATTCCTTTTATTTCTTTAAATGATTTAAAATTAAATAAAATCATACGAATACCTAAGACCGTCTGTGTATAATCCGCGCGAGAAATATTGTGCACGCGTAAATTATAAGATTAGACGGCAACTTGAATTCATGCGAGGTTCACACTGTTCGAGTCGCCGAAACTCATGATCGTCTGGTGTTTTTAACTGCAGATATCTAATACCAAGCAGTAAAATGAAAAATATTGTCGATCAACTTAGAATCTCAACTTAGTTCATTAACTATCAATTTAAGGATACTAATATTTCGAATATTTAAAAGTATTTCAACTTCTTTTAAATCATTGTTAGCAATACTCAGCAATGAAAGAACTGATTTCAAATTATCGTCGTACAAGACTAATTGACCCTGAAGGGTTTCACTGTTTCGGAAATCGAAACGCTTCTACCTTTAGGCTCGATTGATTTTACGAGCACACTATGTTTCACACACGGACCATATATTTTAAAAATAATTTTCACTTTTCGTTTTCGCGGCATATATTTGTTTACTTTTCTGCCCCCCCCCCCTCTCTCTCTTCCTCCAAAACACAAAAACCGTCTTCAGTACGCGATTATTTTTATTTCTGATCTACAGTACAAATGCTATAACAGAGTCACACGGTTTATGAAAATCGTCAATTAGACAAACAATTTTTTCTTTAAAGGTAATGCTAATTGAGAACGCAAGAAAAGGAAAGAAGAGAGATAGACAAACGCAAAAGCATTATTACTAAATATTAATTATATTAATTGTAAAGTAAGCACACATTCAAAGATATGTGAAAGACAACGATCTGGATGTAAGTATCCCGTATTCTTGTTTGCATTAACAAATTCGTTCGTTGACTTTAAAAAATTCAAAAATTAGTGTATTAATTGGCCTAATAATTTCTTCTAAGGAAAAGTTCTTTCCTTCTAAATTAATCAGTATCGATTAAATAAATTTGAGTAATAACAACGTGCAGGCAAGCAAAAGATGCGAGTATAATATATATTGATTCACATCGATGTCGGAAACCAGAAATTCATCTCTCTTAATTCTGATGGTTTCGCTTGAAATACATTTGAATAAACAGCTGATTTATCAACTGACTTTTCATCGCTTCCTATATACGTGAGATTTTGCGACGATATAGATTTCTTTCGAGTAAGCGCTCTAGGTGGAACAGCTGAAACTTCTGTGTTCGTTTCGTCCTCTTCGTTGATTTTTCCAGTAACAATTTCTCTAGATTGTCCAAAGATGCTTGACAAAATCCAACCTCCTTGATATTTTTCGCGATCAGGAAGGAGCGGGCCGGTAAAGTATCGATTAGGTGGGACACGTCGACGAGCTTTCGGCGAAGTATTTGGACTGCTTGCTGGCGAAGTAAGTGGAGTAGCTGGTAAAGATTTACTGCCTTTTTTAGGCTGATTACCAGCCTGCTCGGCCGAAAAGTTTTCGTGAAATTTGTTAGACATCATCTGACTGGCTACAAGAACAATTGATTTTCCACAAAGTGCTGGCTTGCGATGAAATCCATCGTCTATCCCCTGCGACCTTGCAGCTTTTGTATTGTCAGTTAACGATATCTTTGAACTTGATTTGATTTCAGTATCTAAAAATGTAAAATTACAAACATTTCATGACAAAGAACAAGAAAAAATTATACGCTTAATTTTCAATTATTTTATAAATTGCAATACTTGGAAGGAAATTAATAGCTTATTAATTTATACAATTACAAGTCGCACAAAAAATACATATACATATGTAAGCATATAACAATCAGTTCTGATACCTTTGCTTGTTGTTGAAGTTGTTGGTACAAATGGTTGGCAAGGTAAAGGATATTTACTAAAATCGATCTCCTGATTCTTGTTTCTCTCTTCGATAATCTGTTGTGTGTCTTGTGCTTTCACCTTATTTGTTGATGAAGCAATACTTTGTTCGTCAAAAACTTCGTCAATTGGCCGGAAATCTTGCGAAACCGACAATCGATTTTGTGACTTTGGGTATCGTAAGTAGAAGAAGCTATCGTCGTGAGATGGCGGACTGAATGTGGTATCGTCAAAATCGAATCTGCATAAGAGAGAGAAAACAAAAGCCTAATAATCGCACATTACGAAAAATGTAAGTAAGGTTAACAAGGTAAGTACGATAAAGTAGAAAAAAGGAAAAAAAAGGAAAAAGAAAAGGAAGAAAAAGGAAAAAAAGGAAAAAAAGGAAAAAAAAAAAAAGGAAAGAAAGAATGCCTAACTATCTCTCATTATAATTTTTCCACTCATAATGTTGTTAGAAGATTTTTTCACTTTTGGATCTCACCATCAATAGATTGTTTTCTTTACAATTAGTAAGCTTATAAATTTCTTAATTTGATGGTACTGTGTAAATCAAGGATACGCATTAAATAATTTAACGTCTTATACGAGTATTGTGTTGACCTTGACACTAGAAGCAATAACAGAAATCGCGACGTAGAACATGGATGGACAAAGGATGTTATTTAAGTAAAATATTCTGGTGTAAACCGGCATAGATTTATAGACGGACAGTAGCGAAAAAGTATAACGAACGCTATGCACCACAAGAATCTACTCGAGGGCGTACTACTCTCGTGTAGAGAGTGCCGTGAAGTCTAAGAATAGCGGGCACAATGCCCATGCGGTTAACTGCTTATCTGTGTTGTATTGCACGTTGGCCAAATTTTAGGTATAAATATTTTTTCTCCTTCGCAAAATCTATGCATTGAACATCACGACTTAAATAACGTAAATATAATCGCTTCTTCTAAATTTTAAATAACTGACTCTGTAGTATTTAGTGCTAAATCTGTGACTAAATTCTTCTCTTGTATTCATTTACAGCATTTACAAGTTCACAGAAATGTCCTGCAGGCAATTAGAAAAATTGCCTCTTACCGTTGCAATTGGTTTATATCTCTTCTATACATTCAGCAAAGAATAATGCTATGTTAAAGCGTCACGAGCCTGCAACTTAGTACAAGTCGAAGTTTAACAACTTAAAAATGCTTTAGTCTTACGAATGATTTGAAGAGGAACATACCTATTATCAGATCTCCCTTTCATCCATTGGGGCAAAGATATTCCGCCGCTGAGTAATCTATCCTGTTGTCTCGTGGAGCCCATTTTATGTTTTGGCAAACTTTCCTTTTCCTCTAAGTTAGTTCCAATTTCTGAGTATAATTTTCTTCTTTTTAAGTTTACTTGTATGTTCTTTTAATATATCACACTTTGAGACACTGGATTTAAAGAATACTGATATTCAGAGATAGAATCTCTTGAAAATTTCTGATAAGACAAGAATTCTTCGAAAATTAATCTGCAGTTTGTTCTATTGACCTAAAACATGAACAATACAATGGACATGCATGTTTACGTTCATTACTCATTCTGGTTCTAAATATGTACAACTTAAATGGATTGAAAAAAGTAGAAGACATATATTTTACATCTGGTATCAAAATATTAATGGAGGATATGAAAAGACTCGTCATTTATAATATTCAATACCTTTACATAAATTTAACTTAAATTATTCAAAATCCACTATACACGAACTCTATGACATATAATTTAAATTACTTAAAAGTCGCAATTATTAGAAGAAACATTTGTAGAAAGTATCATTGATCAGCATTTTCATATTTACGCTTCTTTGTCTTCACTTTCATGAAACTTATAATTATTGTTTATAATCAACACACAACACATTTAACATATACATACGTTTCTGTATTTTCCTTTCTTTCACTCTCTTTTTCTCCTCTTTCTCTTTTCCCCTACCCGTTAAGAGTATATTTCTGTTATGATGCCTATAACAACATTAATGTTGAGATATTTCTTTGTAGAAAGAAAATCATTTTGTGTTACCATAAAAGAAGTAGTATATGAGCATTGTATGTTAAAAAGAAATGGCAGAAAGGGTAAACACAAAAAACATTATCTAATTGGTACTAAAGAATTAAAGAAGAAGAAATAGAGTTTATAACGATTTAAATATAGAAGAAATTATTTTATAAGATTTATTAATAAATTTTTTCTTCTACTTATAGAGTATATTACTTTCAAAAATTGCAATATAACTTATATACTTCCATTTCATAAAATGACAATGCATGCACCGATTAATTAATTACTTACTCGATTTTTGTAATATGTTGAATACTTCTGCACAATTAACAACCCCATAGTGAAGATATTTTCGCGAAACTTCAAAAATAATAATATTGTAACTCTCGAACGATACAACTATCTACATTTATTACGGATGACATAAACTCACATCACACATTAAGTTGCATTACATTGGTAACTTTTTGACTATGGAAAATTCCTGTTCGTCAAAAACTAAAAAAAGAACTAGGCTGACATAGAGAAAATAGAACAAACTATGTTACATGTAATTATTAAAGAAAAATCGTTTTAATTATTTTTATTATATATTCAAATTTGATTTATTACATATATGTATTTACCCGTTTATAATAAAATATATGTCTATATATACCTAATAAAATAACGAGTATTACATTTAAATTTTAAGGTGAATTAACAATAATATTATATAGGTAAGTTAAATTTAGCTTGATTATCACATAAATAATCAACCAACCAATCCGATTGATTTGGTGAATTATTTAATCACTAGGGTTAGTAAATTCGTATCTTTCCGACACTATAAGGGAAAATATTCTTCCGGTTAGGGTTGCGGAATTGAATGAGGCACGGTAAGTTCATTAGAATGTGAATCGATTTCAATCGGCTTTAAGTAAGTGATATTAATAAAGATTTTGTACCAGAATTGTATTCTTTTCTTTGACATAAAAATGTGAATATTTCTGTCCTTGTAAAACATTGATAATGCTAGTTTTAATGATAGTAGCTAACCTGTATTTCTGATTTATATTTGTATACATATATACAATATATTCTGTTTAGTCTTACTTAATACGATTTATCAAAACGCAGATTACAATTAATTGGATGGTATACTAATCGATAATTTTGCATACACAGATAACCAATAACAATGAAATTTAATCGACTTGTTTCTTCTTCGCGTCGAAAAAATCGAAAGAGGCACTTCACGGCTCCTTCTCATATTCGAAGAAGACTTATGTCGGCTCCTCTTTCGAAAGAACTTCGACAGAAGTATAATGTCCGTTCTATGCCGATTCGTAAAGATGATGAAGTACAGGTAAAATGACAATAAGTAATTTTGTAAATTGTTCAAACTACAGAAGATGCTTGCTTTAAATGTAATTAAAGTAGTTAAGAAGGATAAAATAAGTGTATTTTAAAACTTTCTTCACTACGCTTTCCTCTTTTTTTTTAAAACAGGTTGTACGTGGTCATTATAAAGGTCAACAAGTTGGCAAAGTTATTCAAGTGTATAGGAAAAAGTTTGTCATATACATAGAAAGAATTCAGCGTGAAAAGGCTAACACTGCTACTGTGAATGTTGGTATCGACCCATCCAAGGTAGTGAATAGTTAATTTCTCTTCTAGAAGATTATTTAATTTAGATAAATGATGAATTAAACCATTCACATAGATGGAGGCATGAAACTTGTTAAATTACTTTGATGCACAAGGGTTTTCCTTTGCATTTATGGATTTGACTTGTTTAGCCTCTTTACTGCAGAAAAATTGGAACTGATATTATGATATTTTACCTTCTTTTTTTCTTTATAAGTAATATTTACAATTTCCTTATATAAATCTTTTGTGCCCTACAGACAGTCATAGTAAAACTAAAAATGGACAAGGATCGCAAGAAAATTATGGACAGGAGAAGTAAGGGTAGACTTGCAGCATTAGGCAAGGATAAGGGAAAATATACTGAAGACTCAACTGCAGCCATGGAAACTTTGTAAATTTAAGTTATAGTTTCATTTATAAAATTTAATAAAAAAAAATTAACATTTTGAGATTTGTGTCATACTCTTTTTAATAACTCAACATCAGTATTTATACACTAAAAAATTGAAATTCTTTATTTCTATCTGTTCTATCAAAATGAATATTACAATATTATTATATTACATTAATAATTATAAAACAAAATATTATTATAAGGGCTATATGGATTATCTCAAATCATTTGTACCACTGAAAGTCTTATAAAAGTAACAAGGCATAAACTATATTCTCTTTAAAATATTGCAATAGAAAAACTTCTGTCTTAATTAAAAAATTGCATAAATGTAATTTTTAATATGCCATTATATATGCAACATACTTTATTCACTTATACTTCGACGTTTCTTTTTCGGTATCAGAGTCCGCTCTGTTAGAAAGTCTGTTGGGACTATCTCATCTTCAATTCTTTCGGTATTGTATGTACAATCGATATTATGATTTGTACATTGATTTGATGATTTTTTAAGTGATTTCTGTGTAATGTTCTCTCGTGTCACGACTTTTATTACTGGCTTAATATTTACTAGAAAGATATTATTATATTTAATAAAACAAATATCTTTTTAATAATATTAATTTAAAAAATAGTTTTTGATTTATGTTTTACATATACCTATTTTGTATGGTTTATGAGATTTCTCACTGGCAAACACACAAGATATATTATTTATATCTTTACATTTAACTCTGTATTTTTGCTTTCCAAGTTTTAACGTTTTTTCTGTTAAATGTATTTTATTCCCCAGTAATTGATTTTCAAGCACCTACAGACAATAAAATACAATATTATGCTGTTGAATTTCTTCAAAAATAATATACTACATAATATATATTGTGACATATATCATACTGCAGAAGGAACATCTATAATAAAAAGCTCATTTTCTTCTATGTTTTCGAGTGTAAAAGAAGGTAGTGCCGTTTTAAGCATTAAATTTTCCTTCTTTATTAATTCCTGTAACTTGAAATAGGAAAAATACATAAGATTTGAAAAGTATAAAATAGTATGATATAAAATGAAAAATAAAATTCTTGTTTATACATTATATGGTCTACCACATATTACTGATTCCTTGTTTGTAGCTTCTATGATACACTTAATTTTCAGATTTTCTTTATTAGATCCTTGCATATGTTTTTTCTGTTTCAAATTATAACTTGTTGCAGTATTTAAACAACTTGATTTATGCTGAACAACTCCATGACTAGCAAATGACAATCGTTTAATATCTAAGGATGAATCTTTCATCTTTGAACATTGTTTTGCATCATTAAACTCGTTATTCAAACAGCGAGCAGTTTCCTCTGAAAAGTTTTCATTTTTTTGTAATTTTTTATCACATTGGATTGAAATTTTTTGTTTAAACTTTACATTTTCATCTTCGGTATTTAATATATCAAGAGATTCCTTAGGACGTTTGAATAATTTATCTCTCATATTTTCAATATTACAATATGTATCATCATTTTCACTGAGACTAGAATCACTATCTACAGTCAAATTTAATCTTCTTAATTGTTGTAGTCGTTTTCTAGCCAAAGGACAAGTATTATCCTCTATATTTTGCTTTGCTTCATCTGTTTCATGTTTTCGATCAGAAAAGTCTTTTATACTTGATCTTTCCTCTTCAACATTTTTATTAAATACAGATGTACCAGGCACTATTTTATACTTTTTGTCAACAATTTCTGTATGAGTAACTTTGGGTTGTAGTTTATGCTTTAGTATCTTATCATTACATTTTTCATTATTTATAATTATATTTTCGTTTAGACATAATGTTTCATCTGTAGCATCTGATTTAGTTGGTATATTGTAATTTTCAGACTTCAAGGTATCATCATAATTTGTCAAATTATCTGCATGTTTTACCATTAAGGAAGTATTTGACATATTTTGTTTTATTTTTTGAGATTTCTTTTTAAGTTTTTTATAATGCCTTCTTCCATTTTCCAACAAAAATTCTTCATCAGTATCTTCTTCAATGCCTGAGTCCTTTGGTTGATATGTTCTAACAGTAATTAATGAGGACTGTATAGTAAAAGGTTTTTCATTTTTCACTTTATCCATAAATGTATTTTCCATGTTTGAATTTTTTTCTACTTGATTAGAACAGTTTTGATTCAAAAGCATTTCTGTATTTATACAAGAATCATTGACATTATCTACTGGAGATATTAAACTGTCCTGTATGCCTTTCGATATTTCTTTATTAGAATTACTAAACATTTCATAAGAATAATTTTTATTTGATACAATCTTTTCATCAGTTTTATTCACCATAGGATTTGGTTGTCCTGATTCATTGTTAGCATTTGTTACTACTTGTTCTGCAATTTTATTATACGTTATCTCACTTGAACTTTGTATTAATGCACATGCATTTACAGTTTCCTCTGTAATACATGTTTCATTATTCATTGGTATTCTATTTGATGAATTTAATGGAAATTTAATAGAATTTATAAAAAATTTGATGAATGTTTTTAACTTACCTTGTATAGTACCTTGATTATTATTCATTAGAGAAGTCATGACATTTGTCTCTTTTGTAGAAGAAGGCGTATCCTTAGCTTTTCTTTTAACACCTTTTTGGCAACTTAAATGTATATTTTTTAATGATTTATCTTTGTGTTTTCCTTTAAGTATTTTTGTAATCTCTTCATTAGACATGTCATCTTCATTGATTAAAAAGTCTGCTTCATAAGAATAAGTTTTACTTTTATTAGACATGTGTTGAATGTAACTTGTTAAGAATAAATTTGATTTATACAAAATGTTAAAGTCGTCTTCTGTAAAATTATCATTATTGTCAGTTTCATCATCATCTGACAAATTTCGAAGAACTGATGTCTTCATTTTGATGTATTGGCTATATGTCTTTAAACTGCAAGATTGTTTAATTGCAACATTCATAACTTTATTTCTGCGACGTAATCTTCTAGATGGTATCAGTTTATGTATCAAAGAGTGATCTACCATTCTGTTTGTGACAGTATTCGGCACTACCTTCCAAGTGATTTCATCAGATTCCATGATATAATAATAATGGTATGTTTATAATATTTGTGAAACACAGTTATAAAATGTCACTTAAGTTGAATAATAATGTGTAAATATTTAAAATATATAAGTCCGAAAGTATAATTACTTAATTTCTAATATTGAATAACATTTATTGCAAAAAACTTTACCCTTTCACCCTTTCAAAAACAAAACTGGCACATGTTCACTTGTACGTATTTCATTACAATGTACACAATGAAACAAATTAAAATTTAAAGGTTATTGAAAATTTATATATATACATATATACGTATACATACGTATTAAAAACTTAATATTGTTTTATTGTTTCTTTTCTCCTTTAAAATTTTGTTACGATTTATTGATTTCTTTATTAGAAATCAATATTCTATAGAAGAAATCTATATTAGATATTTAATATAGAACATTTATGATGTTTCAGAACTTATACGTAGAATATATTATTTCCACAAGTAACAAGGATGATTGAAACTATATAACGTGAATCATAATTGTAAAATTAAATTGTGCGAAAAGTAGAAAAATTTAATATAATTTCTAATTATAATATGATGTTTTATAAAATAATCTTAATAAAATTTAGCGAAATAAATTTTTGAGTCAATATATATCATGGTCATGTATATATATATATATATATATACTTTCCAATAATATACATGGATAATTATATGAAAGTTATATATTAAAATAAAATTGGAATGCGTTTAAACAAAAAGAACAATACTAAAGAAATTCGTTTCATCATGAACAATTTATTTTATTTTTATTATTAACTTGTCAAATTAAAAAATTAAATAATATCAAATTAAAAAACATGCAGAATTTTTTAACATTAATAGAATTCTTGACATATGCAAATGACGTTATGTAATTGATATATGCAAATGGAAACAAAGAAAGTGTTTTATTATGAAATTTCTATTAGGGCATATATTTGTATACCGGAAGTGTATGGATCGGTGAATATAGGTACAAACAATGATGTAAATGAAAGAAAAGTGGAGGGAGTGAAAGGATGGAAGCAAAAGAAAAAGAATAACGAGATTACCAAAACATTTTATATTTATTCCTGTGTTAGATATAAGAAATAATTACTAACATACATTTTAACAATAATAATTAAGAATGTGTAAAAGAATTAAAACAGGAATTCGAAATAATGGGTTTTAAAGTTTAGTGATATAGTAATATCGTGCGAGAGAAAGAGGTGCAAAAGCGCAGAAAGAACGCCGTCACGAATCGCAACGTAAACGGTTAAGAACCGATTTTAAATGGAAGTTGATTATCGATGACTAATTCAGTTGTGTAATAAAATAAAAAAATCATTTCACTTTCATGTGTTTGTTTATTTTTCAAAAAAATTGCAGGGAGTTAACAGGAATAGAATTTAGCGAAAGATGATTTGGAAGTTTTTTTGGTTCGTCGAAGTGTTAGGTCAACGATAATCTGACTGACAATTTTGAACAATTGATTGAATCTTCTATGGAAATTGATGAAAATAAAATATAAGAATGCACCAAAACAGGAAGAAGAAAAAGCGAGTGAATTATGGTGTGAGAGCAGTGGAGGTATTACGTGGAATGAAAGGATTTGGTTTTACGATCTCGGGACAACAACCTTGCATATTGAGTTGCATTGTTCCAGGGAGTCCAGCGGATATTGCTGGATTACGAGCCGGCGATTATTTAGTATCTGTTAATGGTCACAATGTTAGTAAATTACCCCATGATGATGTTGTTCAATTAATTGGCCGTTCTAAAGGCATTTTGAGATTGCAAATAGCTGAAAATTATTATTCTGATTCTTCGGATGAAGAGGGAATATCAGCAATACGTTGCAAGCCTAAATATATACATAAACCTCGTGCAAGTAACATGGGAGCATTACAATTACAATGTAGAGTTGCCAAAGTTGTGCGAGACTTACAAAGTGGTGCTATGTTTGATGTAGCAGGAAAAACACCACCGGAATTGCAAAGTCACGAAACTTATTGTGATTTACATTATCACTGGGATATGTCTAGTCCTCTTCCACCACCACCACCTCCAGCTTCTCATAAGAGAGATTCTGAAAAGATAGTACACAGAACAGTTGTTGGTTATTTAGGAACTATAGATATTCCAAATCAATTGCATCCATCTTGTATGATGCAGGTAACATATAATTTTAAAAATAATATTATTATTATTATAAATTATTTGCGAATTTTGTCAATAAACTATTCCTTAATTACGTATAATTTTATTAATTTTTGTTTATCTTTCTAGGTGTTGAGAAAGTGCATAAAACGATTGAAAGCTGAGAAAAGAAATCCAACTACAGTACTATTAACAATACATGTAGCAAATATAAAGCTTACTAATTCAGAGAATCGTGTTATAGCAGAATATCCATCCTACAGAATAATATTTTGTAATTCCTTTTCTGAGCAGGACAAACAATATTTTGGTATATTAACTAAATCTGTTAAAGACAAAGAAAATATTGTTTCAAATTCATGTCATGTTTTTACAATTTATTATAAATTGATTGATCATGTAGTACATACTAGTGTGTGCAATATATTTGGATTTACATGCACAAAAACTTCTGAATTAAATGTCTGTCAAGAATTTCCAGACAGTTGTAATGGTTTGATTGGTGCTATACAAACTTTGTACATATCAGATTCTACAGCTACTGATACAAATCCATATAATGAAATGCGAAGACATCAGGAAACTGCCTCTCCACAACCAAGTAATATAAGTACATCAACAGCTCATTCAAGTAACAGTGATTCCGGGATAGGCTATAAAGATGACTGTACAAGCCGTTCAGATAAAAATATTGCACAGAATGTTTCCCAAAGAAGATGTCCGACTTCAGAATATAGGGTATGTTATACTATAATATACTATAATATTTATCACACTTGATCAAATTTAATATTAAATAGATTTAATATTATTTAATATTTAATATTTAATATTTAATATTCATTAACTATTGAAATCTATATATTTTTTTTCTTGCAATTTAAAATATATGGTTTTTTTTATGGATACACTTGTTACATTTTATTATTTCACTTGTCTATGTTCTAAAGGATATTTAGTGCATATAGTTATTATGTGCATTATCAAGTTTATTATGATTGCAAAAAAAGGAAATTTAAAATAAGATTATAATAAAGTGGAACTTATTTTATAATTGCTTTAAGCTAAGTTGTTTTCATTTTATTTAATGAAAAGAATTTGTCGTTAATAAACAGTAATATATGTTTAGGATGCTTGTGAATATTCATCAAGATCATACAATAACGAAGCCATGGATTTAAGATTAACAGTACGAGCTGTATCAAACACATGTTGGAATGAAGCAAATAAATTGAATATATGCAAGGATAATTTAGAGTCACCCCATGAAAATGTCATTTTTAATGATTTTTGTAATGGGATAAGTACGTGTACAGAAGTGATAGAAAATTCTGAGATGAGTTGCGACGCACAAAAGAGAACGAAGAGGGGGGATTTGCCCACCTGTCCATTGCCATCTGCTTTAACAGTTAAGCAGGGGTTGCTTAGTTCGTCGGTTGGATCCCTCGTGTCCGTTTGTACCACCGCGATGTTGTACGGTATAGAAGATCCTATTGAGGCGCCCGATGATTCTATAATAAAGTCGAAACGATTATTGGGATTTACAGAATTAGTAGAATCAAAGGAGATCGACACATCAGATAAATTTAGCCCGAAAGTTTTTTCTGGTATTTCCAAGTCTTTAGTGCATAGTTTTGAAGATCTTAATACAAGCATGGATTATGTTCGACCACTGTGCCAAACATATTCAGATAAATCGGATAATTCACGCCCTTGGGGAAGTTTACAAGAAATTCGGAACGTTGGAACCTGTGTGCAGAATATCTGTCTGGTAAGATTTATACTTATTTTTTTCTACAATAAAGTTTAATTTGATCTATTAGTTTTTAAATGATTTACTGATACACAATTGGAGATCTCTGCAAGAAAAGGAAAACAGATATAAGCATTAAAATATTCGCATTCTTATTTAACTTTAGAATGAAAGAGTAAATCTAACACAATAGAAACCGCAAGTAGGGAAATACGAACGCATAGACAAGAGAGGAAGAGTAAATGAGTGAATTGATGAATCAATGAATGACTTAATATATCTAATATAAGAGAACTAGAGAAAAAAACGCGAATTCGTGATTGGCAAAGAGAGTGGTGGAAGGGGGGAGGGAGTGAGTGATGAAATGAACGAATAAATAGTGGGAATTATATTGTTATCATTTTGGTTTGATATTTTCATAATATTGAAATGAGATATAATAACTTACTATAAAAAATTAAGTAAATAGATAAATTTATAAAGAAAATATATGTAATATAAATAAATGAAAATTACCGACCGACCGACCGACCGACCAACAAACACAACCAATCAATCGACCGACCGACCGATCGATCAACCAACACAACCAACCAACCAATCGACCGACATATCGACCGAACGACCGACCGACCGACCGATTAACCGACTGAGCACTTCGAAAGGAGAGGAAAAGAGAGAAAGACGGAAATGAAGTACGAGGGAATACATACTCGTAGCAGTAGTGCACATGAGAGTGACATGTTAGATACGAAATGAACGTGACGTTGATTTTAATGGTTAGAATAATGTTGATTGATGTATAGTGTCTGTTGAAATTATTATTTAGAAAAGTTTATTGAATAATTGCTCATGTAAATTGTCAGTTTGATTGGGATAAATCGATCGGTCGATCGCGTTCGTTGTGTCTGTGTATAACTTGTTCGGTTGACCATTCAGTTGAACAGACATCGTGTGCGGAATCATAATTGTCAATGGTGCATCGTTGCAATTGGGCGGAGCCCTTATTATTACGAACATAAAGCAGTCATATTTTAATTGTTAATTTCAAGGCAATTATATCATACGTTATATAATGTTTCTATAAGTATTTTTATTTTTCTTTCGATAAATGGGATCGTTGCGCGGTTACACGAAGGAATACGATCTTCGATCACGACATGGATACCGTGGTGAAATCGGTATGTACGACACGAAACCGTCGATATTTAATGAAAGTCCAAAAAAATCGTCTAATGATTTGCTGTTCAATATTTACATAATTGTTATAATCAACCAGTTGTTTATATTAAACAAATAATAAACAAAATGAAATCAATATATTTTATTTTCACCGCTACTATGAATCAGAGCAGAAAATAAAATTTCACTGATTAATAATTCAGAGTTGATTACATCAAAATATAATTTCGCGCCTTTTCCAATTTTTCTTTTCTGTTTTGTTCCTCTCTTCTTGGTAGTTGTAAATTTGTGCTCTATTTTCTTTACTTCTATCGATAGCTCGTGTATGTTAGTAATTACTTGTTTAAGTCTTATCAATGAATGATATACGTGTATTAAATAAATGACTCGAATATTTATATTAATATACTTTGTTGTTAAAAAACAATATGAAAGGAGAAAAGATTTAAGATTATTAAAAATTATCTGTTATTGTATATAAAGATATTTTTCACCTTCACGACGGCTTCATTTCTCATACGTATTTCGCAGTGTAAAATACGATTAAGGTATCCGATCATAACATTTTCGGCTTAATATAACCAGTGGTAATAACGAAGAAATTTTATTTTCTCCGTTTTCTTATTTTTGAATTGTTTACAATTATAATTATTCAATGATTTTTTATTAGTTAGGTTATATATACATATATACACAGTTACATAGTTAGATATAGTACAGTGTATCCTCTTATAGTGCGAATGTAACCTTATAAAGAGTTTGTCGCGTATAAAATTATATTAATAGATAAATTGCATATTATATGATAACAAACATTAAAAATTGTGTGAAGGTAATGATTATGTATGGTATTCTTTTTCCGTTCCTTGATTTGTTTCTAATCAATATTCATAATATTCGTATCGAGCTGGTGATACAGCACGCTCGATCATTTTTCTTATAACTCGCTTAATCGTATTTAATGATGTTATCAATATAATATTATTTTTGAATGCTTCTTTAATGCAGCACGGTAGTACAGAATTATGTGATAAAAATACCGATTGTAAAAATATACATGCATGGGCCAGTGGTTTTGAGAAATTATTGGAAGATCCAAAAGGTTTACAAACATTTGCGGTAAGAATAAAATTTCATTTTCATCAAATGAAGATACTTCACATTTTTCTAAATTCACATTTTTCATTTCCATAATTTAGGAATTTCTAAAAAAGGAATTTAGTCATGAAAATATTTACTTTTGGGCTGCTTGCGAAAGATACAAAGATACTAAAGATATTCCTACAAGACGTAAGTTGGCTAATCAAATTTATCAACGTCACTTGTCCACTACAGCAGCTGAACCTGTAAATGTTGATAGCCATGCAACTGGCCAAATAACACAGGAACTTCTTAGCGAAGCACCTGCTGACCTTTTCCTACAGGTGTAAATGATGTTTTTTTTTTCAATTCTGTGATTATTCTTATCACCATTATTAATGTTACATTTGTTTCTCTATATTAATGGAAATTGTTAGTTTGTATTTTATTTTCAGGCACAAAAACAGGTTTTTAATTTAATGAAATTTGATAGCTATCCAAGGTTTCTAAGGTCTGATTTATATCGTCATTGTGTAGAAACAGGAAATTCTATAATTGGAGTAGAAGATTGTGATTTAAATCTTACCAGTTCCCCTAGCGTAAAGTTAAAGAAGAGTCACTCAGATGCAGAAGATCGATGTAGAAAATCTATTCTTCCATGGAATAGAAAAAATAGGTACTGAGAATAAATAGTGTTTGGTAAATATTAACTGAAATAAACAGTAATCATTTATGAATGACAATATATTCTTAGATCAAAATCTAAAGATCGTGGAGAATCTGAATATAATAAAGGTCCTAATAGAAATGAGACTATATATAAGAGTTTTACAACCATGAAAAGAGAAGCAGAAGGTAATAACAATGATGACAGTATTTCCATATCTAGCAGCAGATCCTCATTAGCATCATGGGATTTGGCATTAAGGCAATCATTTCACAAACATGTAAGTATTCTCTTCTTCTTTGTTATATTACAATTAAACATAAATAAAAAAATTATGCCTGTGCTTGATAAAGCAATTATATTAAAGGCAGGTATATGTAAGTTATTTATGGTATTGTGTTAGTTTTATTTGTATTGCAAGTGTGTAGTAGGTACTTTGGTATTGCAACTATGTGAGGATGTTTGTTAAAACCAATGTCAGTGTTATTAAGCGCATATTCAATTTTGAATTTTCAAAGTTGTATGTATAACTTGTAGTCTTTATCGTCCTACGAAGGACAATCGAATGAAACGAAAGAAGTTCGTGCCAAATGTACCGGGTTATGTCGGGTAATATTACCCGATGGATCGACTACAGTTGTGCCAACTAGCCAAACGGAGAGTATTAAAGATGTGGTTACACGCCTCCTTGATAAAAGAGCTCTTCGGTACTCTAACTATGATGTTCTAATCCTAGCTACAGATGAGGTTTGTGTTTCTCTTGTTGTGTATCTCTCGTATTTATTTAACGCATTATTTAAAATTTCTCTTATTTGGAACTAACAAAATAATTTATCGATGTGGAATATATTATTTATAGAACATACTCCTTTCTTGCACGCAGCGTAAACAAATGGTTGAGCATTGTAAGGATTGTGGGTGATTGTTGTTATGTGACAATCTTTATGCATGTGTTTTTGATACAGCTTTTATAATTGGGCACACAACCCGTTATGTAAAATATGTGTGTTTTGCATATATTTACATGCACACATAATTTACAGTTTGATGTAAACAATGCTGGATGATCTGGTGTCTGTACATTATCAATATCTAAAATTAGTTAGAAATTTTTCATGTCTTCAGACTATAGATGTGAAATATCCATCATCAGTATTGGCTGGTCAAGAAGTGGAAGTTGTACCAACAAAAATATTGAAAGTAGATTTACCCTCCCGGCGAGTAATAACTGTGATCGCACATAAAGGTCGAACCCTTAAAGATGTACTGAGGCCACTTCTAAATAAGTATGGTTTTAATTTAGATATGATTACTGTATGGAGTGAAAATCATCGTGTTTGTATGGATATACAAGCAATTGATGCTCCTGCAAGACTAATTTTGAGCAACATAAGGGACCAAGGTAGTAAAGGTGTCGAGATATAGTAAGCTCTTAAGAGAATATTGAAATGTAATTGCTGTTGAATCCAAACAGCATAAGGAAAAACATTTTCGTCTTTTTAGATGCACAAAAAGAATTGAGTACAGTTAAATACCCACACGATACATCAAATTCTCAATCCACTCTAGACGAAATTACGAATAGAGTATTTGAAGAGCTTTTAGTGGGTAAAGGTTCGAGAAAATATTATAATGATGGGTCATGTAAGGTACTACGATGGATATATTTATTTAAATAATCGTATGTTAGTCGTATTTTTTGTTATTTACTGGTTATTTTGTTTCTCGGAATATAGTCTGATGATCAACGTTCTGAGGGTTCTTCCATTTTACCAAGCAAATTTTTCCTTAGAGATTCCACAATGCATGGGAAAAAGAAGGTATGGCAAATATAATAGTAACATAAATTACTATACGTTTATTAGTAAGCAATGTAAATATCATTTTCAATAGTGATTTTTATATACATACCATGTTTATATTTATGTTAAAGGGAATAAAGCCCAAGTGTAATATAACTGAAAAAAGTAACACGCAGGATTATGTTCCTGAGGAAACTGCTAAATCTTCTCATCCTCCCTTAATAGCAAAGTGGCGAAACGGTGTGAAATTACAATTACCAGGAAAATTTGATGGCGAAGGTAAAGAATGTTGAAATTGTATGGCTAATAACGAAATAAGATAAAAAATTAGAACCTTTAAATATGATTTCACGTGTAAAGTATAAAATGCTGCTATTGTTATTTTTACTTGTAGATTTATACGAAGGTTTGAAACGAGCTCAAAGGTCTAGATTGGAAGATCAGAGAGGCACCGAGATCAATTTTGAATTGCCAGACTTTTTAAAGGTAAACAAAACGAAACTTGCATACTCTAAGGTATAGTAATGCGTATTTTCTTATGACACCAAACTCATTTGATGAAACATACGTATATTGTCGATTATCGTAGTAACGTTTTTAAATACATTCTATTTTTGAAATTTTTATTATGCGATGCGTTTCGACCCTTAAAGCTATGAAATTACTGATCAGAACAAGGAAAATGGTAAGCCGACGGATCGCAACAAAGTTCGAAGACCTAGGATAATATCTGCCAATTGCGAAGCAAACGCCAAGTTTTATAGTTCAATTCATGATCGGCAAAACTGTAGCGGACATGATCAAAATATGACATCGACAACGACAGCAACAACAATAGCAGCAGCAGCCGCAACAACAACCACCACCACCATCACCACCATCACCACACCAACAGCAACAAAAATAACTACGACAATGACGACAACAACAACAACAGTGACGACGACGACAACGGCGACAACAACGACTACGATGATGACAATGATGAAAACGATGACCGCGACGACAGCGACGACAACGACGACGTTGGCTTCATCAAAAAATGGAAATGTTGATGAACGATTCCATATATTGGCTACTGGAAAAATATTACAGAGTAAGTCGGCAGATAGTTCATTCGTGTTAGACACAACTTTAACAGACGAAGATCGGACCGTTGTAGAAAACGGATCTTGTTCCCGAACTACCGCTTTGGGACCTTTCGATACACAAGTAAATTCGTTAAGTCTAATGAAATCATCGAAACCTCCACCGCTTCCACCAAAACCAAAAAATCTTATATCAAGCGCAACGAAAACAGGATATATCCTCTCTTCGAAATCTTTACCAAAGTCTAATCGTGCCGTTTCTTTAAGTCCAACCGAATTTACTCGGAAAGATATTTTATAACGTGTCAGATTAGGAAAATGACATGCTCATGTCACATATCTTTGTATCTAAAATGCATAATATGTATTACAAAATGAACGAAAGTGTTTCTAATGAAATTTATGTGTATTATAAATTGATATTTGAAGCAAAGTGGTAATAAGGCAAGAAAGCTTGTAGTATTATTTAGTGCATATTATGATCATGTTTTTGTATCATTACACTTTGTCTTGATTGGTGGTAAGGTGCCTGATTCGCGAATGTGTTTATTTTATTAGCGATATTCTTAACGTATTTTTACTCACGGAGAAATTGTAGACGATACATATTTATGGTGTTTTTATAGTACAGCTGTTACTTTCCTGGTTATACAGGACGTATATTTTATTATTGTAATTTATAGTAAATGAATGTTGTTATACGTGAACAATGAAAAAAATATTTGAGATTTTATGCGGATTAAATAAATTATATAAACATTGTTTTATAGAAATGTTTATTTTGTTTTGATATCCAATATTTATTCAATATCGATGAAATAATGGAGAAGAAAAGGTTTTAATGATGAAAACGTGATGAAAGACTAGACACATAACGGTTTTCAATCATGTTTAATTTGTTTTGTTTCGATTTATTTACTTACGCTTTAGTAGGTGGCGTTATATGCAATAATATATACACCTATCATCATTATGAGTTTGTACAGCTCGATATACGAATCGACGAAGACTGATTCGATTATCGTATTTTAATCGATAAAACTGTACTTTTGACATTTCTTTCTGATATGTTATTTTTCTACGTCAAAGGAAAGTCATTGCTATTGATATAGAATGTGAAATAAAATTTGCGTTTTTAAGATTTCAAATTGGAAAAAATTTGTGTAGGAAATTTTATAAATGCTTTGATCAAAAGGAGGTAAGTAACTAAAAGGCTCCCATATTATATCTATAGACCAGTTTATTACTGTGATATAACAATGGTTAATATTAAATTAGGTAGTTGGCGTGTGTGTATGCGTGTTTTATAAAGAATAAGATATCAAAATATATTGCATTAACGAGAAATTTTGTTGTTAAAACTAACGTTAATATCACATAACCCCACATACATACAATTCAGTTGTACAATATGAATATAGATTGTTCGATTCCCTTCGTATTATTTGTTCGTATTGTTCCTTTGAAGACGACCACCATGTGTCCAAAGGTTACAGAAATAAATACATCTGTATACTATATCACATACGTGTTTTATATCGCTAATTCTATTATTATTGTCAAGTTTATTCAAATTTATCATTTACACAAATATTCGATTCATTTTCATTTTCTTTTTTTATCCCCGATTCTTATTACATAACTACATAACAAAGTGATAAAATATATATATATATATATATATATATAGTACTTTATGTATATCTTTATAAATAAATAGCTGTGTAAAATTACTATTAGCTATATAACAACGTATCGAAAGTATTGTTTAATATTGTATTAACACTACAAAGGGAGTTGATGGAAATATTTTTGTATAATCCTATATTGCTTCGCAAAATACACGTGCTATCGAAGACGAAAAAAAATAAAATATTTGAAAGTGATATTTAAAATGTTGTATGAAATCATGCATTCCCAATTTGACTTGGATTTAATATTTATCATAAATAAAGGATAAATTTAATCAATTGACGGCAATTATAATTGCAGGTTAAGACTAAAAGGGATTCGCAAGATTTCGTATGTTATCTTGTGACACTGTTTCTTCGAAGGGCCAATTACACACACACACACACACACACA